CGCTAGAAGCACTTTTCTCGGCTCTCTAGTTTACCACTAAAAATGTTGCCAAAACGCCACAAATGATGTACAAGAAAATGTTTATTTGCTTACATCAAATGATTCTTAACTTGTTCATGCGCGTTCTATTGATATAAATAGCATGTATCGGCCGCATTCATTATCTGCCAAAAAAAGACACGCGCGTGACTTATGGCTACTGCGCATGCCAATTGACCACTCCAGTTTCAGTTTCAGTTTCTCTTGAGGCCATTTTAACTCCCAAGAGAAACTGAAGACAACGCTTATGCAAAATTTTGGGGGTGACAAACAAAGAGCATTATGGTATGTTATCCTATTTTCTGGAGTGGTCAATTTCATAAATTCCTTCCAATTATTCTAAAACACAAGTTTTAATGTTAACAGGATTAACGAACTGGCTGCCTAGAGAAAAATGAAATCCATGTTCACTTTATTTCCTTTGACCACAATACAGGGCAAACTTCGATTTTGGCTACAGAACATTATCCAACATTTCGTCACTTTCAAAACAAAGAAAAACAAGAGTTTTTTTCCCTTCAGCTAAGTTAAATGTTTTTTAAAGCAAAAACCTACAGCTCAGCTTTGCTTAGAAAGTCATGAAAAAGAGGCTGTCCCTTAAACACACAACAAAAACGTGCGAGTTGTTTACCAACATTTTGCTGCCAAACGAGTTGGAAAGTGAAGTTTCGCGTTTTATCACCCACGTTCAATTTATCTGAGCTACGATACTTATAAGTTTTAACTTTTTAAGTGTAATGAGTCTTGTTTCGAGTTACCAACGTAAAACGAGGATCTTTGTTTTTACCTTTTTACTTCTTTGTCCGTGTAATCAGTCGATAGCACAAAGCAAAAGAAATACCGATGGCGTCAAACTTCCTCTCAGGCACATGAAATACTACAAAACAAGTGCAACTTTAATGGAATTGATCGAAGGGCCTACCACCGATATAATCGACCGATGTGTTTATTCATCTTTTTTTTTTTATTTTATTTTTTTCTTCATGCACGTAGACGTTCTTGGCAACTGAACATATAAATTAACAAGATAACTCAAACAAGAAACCAAACCAAAGCAGCAAGATTTTCTATCGTAAAACGACGTTCACAGCTTCAACAAGAGCCTTCGCAAACGAACCACAGCTGGCAGCCAACAAGACTTTTCTGGCGCTTTGTCACAGGAACTTTGCGCTCGATTGGCTAGTTTCTGTCGCCTATTGTATTTTGTGGCATTTCACTGGTTCAGACAAACTGTCCTATTTTTCTTACATTGGACAGTTTGCCTATTTTTAAAGGAAAGTCTCATTGCAAACTATCCAAAAAAAGTAGTCTTGAATGCTCCATTATAGAACATGAAAAAATCAACACTTCATTTGTACTTTAGCCAGGGACCAGGCCCATTGGTGGGGAATAATTATGAATAAATTGAGACAATTTATCAACAGAAACGCAAACATGCACCTCACCCAAGAACCTTCACCGTTATTTCAAGACGGGATCTATCCCTAAAATCAGAGTTCAAACAGTCTAATCTTCCCTCTTTCTCTACATTCATTGCTTATTCGGGTGCGGGGAATAAAACTAAAAGACCTGATGAATTACCTAGACTTGCAATTGGACTATACTTGTTGACAATTAATAAAAGAAACATCTTGGCAAATTATATACTTTCAAACAATAACTGTACCGGCACAGTTCTAGTAAAGTGAACGAAAAATGTTTAGCCATGAGCCAGGCGTATTTATTATAACGGCCGCTTTTTCTCTTACTTTTGTCAAAGGCACGTTGGCGCAGGTGCTACTGTAGTCCACAAATCATTGGGATTATTCATTTTTCACGGCCGGTCAATTTTTCGGACGGAAAATATGTTGGTTTGTCTCAACCATACCTAATGAATTTTTTGGTACAATTCATGCTCATATTCATGCCCAGGACAGCTGGCGACGGTAGCAACTTTACTAGTTCCTTGTGTTTTCCGGTACATCCGCGACTTAAAATTCTTTGCCATGACTTTCGCTGAGTATGATAATAATAATAATAATAATAATAATAATTTATTTTAATTTATAATTTATTAATTGGATAAAAATACATCAGATGTTACATTGAAAAGTGGAAGAATTAAGCGCAAAATACTGAAAATCCAAGTAAAGAAAAATAAATAAATAGATAAAAATTCTGAAATCTCTTTTAAAACGTTTGTACAAGTAAATTAAGTTAAAAATTCTAAAATATAATTTCAATACAGCTAGGTTATGCTTAAGAACTAATCTGTTAAAAAAGTTATTTTTTAAAAAACGTTCAGTATTTACACTAGGTGTTACAATGGATGTATTTCTAAGTTGCTCTGATGAGACCTTATACCTGGAGAGGAGATTATTTAATGAATGATCGCAATTGTAAGAATTATAAGATAGCACTAACACACTCAAAAGTTACAACTGCATCGATTTCTCCATACTTAAGTCACCTTAACGGCACTTTTTTCGCCTCTTCAGTTTTTCACGAAATGTTGACAGAACACTACGATGTACAAGAAACTATTCATGTTATTAAATCAAATGATCTTTGACTTGTTCACGCGTGAGTTGTTTCCTATATTTAGTATCTGGAAAAACGCAAGCGCCTTACCTATGGCACCTGCCCCTGCCAAATCAATAAACACCCTTAAACAATCACAACAAAGGCATTGTATTGTTAATTGTATTAAGGAACCGGCGGCCGAGAGGAAACTAAAGTCCATGTTCACTTTCTCGTTTGAGCACGATACACGACGAGACCTCAACGGTTACAGAAAATTATTCAACTTCACTGACCACTGAGAGTTGCAACGCTTATTCCTTCACGGTTGATAATCAATAAAAACTAGGTAAAACATTCCACTATTTCCCTTTATCTAATCAGCAGTAACTTTATTTATTTACCTACAGATATTTGAGAAACAACGAGATCAAGGAGCTTCCATCAGGGATATTTTCAAATCTCTCTTCCTTGCAAACGCTGTAAGTGAACGAAGCACTATCTCATTATTTCTTATATGACTGACCTTGAAGGGAACAAAAACCTCTTTTGCCACCTGCGGGTTGGGGGAGGGAGGGGGTCCACGGTCGATTTATTACCTTTAGTTTTGCTTCGTTTTTCAGCTTTCGTTTTTTAAGTCTTTAAAGAGTGTCTTTCAACCACAGTCCTTTTAGTGCTTACAGGTCAGAAGCAACCATTTTTGGATGAACCGAAATTCAGGCACGTCTTTTCGTCTGTTTCCATCGTGTTATATCTCAGAATTCCTTCGCCTTCTCTCTCACTTTTCTGATAACCTTGCTTGGCAAACTGTTGCATAAAATTGCCCTGCTAGAATTACTTTGCCTTGCCTTTTTGCTCGGTAACTTTTTTTAAAAGCCCAGACTGGGCTAAAGGTTTCTGCGATGTTCGCTTGCTGAGAATTTACACTAACGCTAGCTATGCCGTTTTTAAACATCATACTTATTCCCTTGAAAAATGCAACACGTATGTTAAGCTGATTTTGGAAGTGCTTCTTCTTCTCTGTAATCCAGTAATTATAAAAAATCACCAAAGTGAAAATTATGAGAGAAGATTACTTGGCACGCCCAAGAATTAACGATCACTCGTAAAAGCTTGCGTTTGATCTGGAAAGGCGTCACCTTCAACAATTTAAAACGCCTACTGCTTAACCCTTGATGGGTGAATTTAGAATTTAGAACAATACAGTAGACCGTTTCTTGATACGATCCTCCCCATAGGCAATATCTTCCGGTTCCAACGTCAGCACTCACTTTCACGTTGAGACTCCTAGTATACAAAACGGAATTCTCCAGTTGCATACTTAATAATATTTTGTCGCCTTTATAAAGAAAGAAAAGATGCCTTGAAATTTTTCACTCCCAGTTTTATCAAGTTAGCGATGCCTTGTCCAGCATACAGCGCCCTCCTCCTACTTCAGGTCGTATGGATAAACAAAGCCGCGCTAGAGTTTTTTCCGTTCAGTTGAGTTAAACATTTTCTATAGCAAAAAATACTCATTTCGAAAGAAAAGAATCTCAAAAGGCGAAGGCGTCTCAAGAGGCAATGAAGCGTTATAGGTCAGACTTCCTCTTTACATTAGATTTAGTTGTTATTGTAGGCATTTATTAAATCTTTAAGCAATAGAAAACGTTTTCCGTGTTTGCAAAGCCTGATTTGAACACGAGAAGGGTTGGGAGATTTTGAGACAGTTATGCTACTGTAATCAAGTCAACATAATTCCTCCTACAATCATTGTATGATAGATTTCTCATAACAAATTCTCATTTCAAGACACTCTTTCACTTTAATGCTCAAATCAGGTACCTTAAATCCTTTAAAAACTTTTGCTACACTACATCTTGGTTATGTTTCACAACCGGGTACGCTCTCTGCTGTGAAGAAAACAAAGAATGATTAAGTTCTTCGAGGCAAAAACTAATAATATTATTATAATAGTTATTCGTCCTTCCTATATATAATTGTCGCACTGAGTGTGTCTTCATCAACAAGAACTACTCTTAAAGTTTTGATATAGACTTTGGTGTTCCACAAGGTAGCGGCCTGGGGTCGATTTTATTTATCATGTATCACTATGTATCTGGGAGATTCAACGTCGTTAAGAACCACCTACCTAGTATCCATATGTATGCAGATGATATCCAGTTGTGTTTGTCCTTCATGCCATTGTCGACATCTCGTCGACATGGTGCGCTCAGAACAATCCAAGCTTTAGTCTCAGACAAAATAGTTGGGACCCTTCCACCCAACACCGTTTCTGCTTCTGGCCCGTCTCCTGGTCCTCCCAATGTTGGCTATCGCAGTTAACTCACCAAATCTTGCACACCAACATTGGGAGGGCAAGGAGACAGCAAAGCGCCCGAACAATTTTGACTGAGACTGTTGTATCACAGAGGTTCAAGCTTGGAATGGTCACCAAAGGGCTCAAGATAAACGATACAAAAATGGAGTTTCTCTTTGTGGGTTCCCGCCAACAGTTGAGCAAGGTACAACTTGAATCAGTCACTGTCCAGGATTCTGAAATCAGCGTCCGCAATCTCGTGGCATGTTTGATGGGCATTCATGTGAGCAAAGTCTGCAGTAAAGCCTTGCGCGATCTGTATTCCATCAGACCGATCCGAAAATATCTATCGGAAGATGCTACCAAAGTCCTGGTTCACGCCATTGTAACATCTCGTCTTGACTATTGCAACTACCTGCTCTTTGGTTTTTAACATACCAACGTGATCCGTTGCAGAGGATTCTTAGCAGCTGCAGCTGCCCGCATTGTCTGCTTGGTACCCAAGTTCAGTCACCACACACCAGCCTTTATAATCTACATTGGTTACCAGTGCCCTAGTGCCTCCAGTGCTACCCGTCCACCGAGCTCTCGTTGGTGTTGGCCCTGTTTACCTAAAGAAGTTTCTAAGATTCAAGGAAAGTGGTCCCTACAATTTAAGATCCAATGCCAACTGCGAATTAAAGGTCCCCAAAACAAAGTGCGAGACGCATGGGGACAGGGCCTTTTCGCACTTGTTGGCCCCTTACTGTGGAACACTCTCCCTTCAGCTATCAGGAGTATCTGGAGTGTTCAGGGTTTCAAGCAGGCTCTAAAGACCTTTTGATTTCGTTTAGCATTTGCCCATTGAACCAATTCGCGTACAGTGATTGCGATGTTTTATTTCATTTTCCCTAAGTGGCTGTCATGTTGTTAGCTTTTGTTAGCGCTTTAGAATATGTATACAGTTTTAGCGCTATATAAAATTAATAAAATATATTATATTATATGAGCTTGGCCATATTTCTGAAAAACAACATTGTTATCCAAACTGTCCACACCGTTGGATTAACTGAAATGTGAATAATATATGCGATGAGTTTGCTCAAGAGAGAATGAGCTAAGAGAGCGAATCCCTGTGCCCATGATAATTTTTTTAGATGTGAACGTGACATGTTTCGCCGCCAAACATTTGAAATTTGACAGCCATTATAGTAATTAGCGCCAGGAGCCGATACTAATCGGCTCCTGTTGTTGAAATGTTTTTGATCTGCGCTTTCCGCTCATAATTTAGGAATGAATTTCATTTACAAAGGGATTGCAGTATTGGAGTCAAAATTTCCCTTTGAGATTAAAGATTGAGATTTTCTAAGGGCTGGTAGCCTCATTTAAAGAATATTGAATTCTGACACACTGTGAAAGCCAAACGCAAAGGTCATCACGCGCGAAACATGAAACCTTTAATAAGTGACTGGCTTCAATTGTTTATGCAAATGTGCAAGATATTTTTCTCTTTTTCCACGAATATTTTTCGTTCAGAAGCTTTTAAGAATTATTCTTGAGAGTTTCAAACTGTATTACTTCTTCTTAACGTCTAATAATTGCGATGAATATTTCGCTGTGCAAACACAAATCAGGTCGATGCTTCAGGCTGCTAAACAGTCACTAACCTGGATGCCAGAGAGTTTTGATGCGCGGTTTCCGGTTTCGGTCAATTCTTTATAGTGAGCGGTGTGCCCACATTTGTCTGGCGCCCTCACAAAATTCAAATGTTTGGCGTCCAAACATTCATGTTTGAACACACTTTGAACCTATTTTCTCGTTACGTGTCCATGGTTGGATCCAAACGACGGTAACACAGCTCGCGGGTGTGAGTGAATGTCGCCGGAAGAGACAGTTGTCGTTTTTAACAATAGGATGTTGGTTGTTTATATACCGATGTAGCGAAGACCTCAATAAGCAGTTTTCGCCGAGTCGGAACCGCTTTCTCCGGCGAACTCTCACAAGCCAGGACCGTTTTGCTCTTCGTCAGCTACTCTGGCCAGATTATTCCACGTATAAATCTTTTGACTCGTCGACGAAAGTAATACCAAGTTTGTACGTCATATCGGTTGCTGTGCGTGATCGGCAGTGAAATGAATTACCCGCCAAGTTTAAAATTAAATGACGCCACTCTAACCGACCAATAAGGTGGCGTCCTTAAAATAACCACACAGTATGACACAGAACCAAGAATAGATTGAGAATAATTTTCATGGGAAGAGGGTCATGTATGGGGGATTCGCTCTCTTAGATCTTTCTCTCTTGGTTTGCCGTATGAAGAAAGTTTTGGAACTGTACAGTTATGCAAAATACACAAGGAGGTTCTCCCTTTACGTTTTCTTTTGTTGGTTTTTGTCGATAAAACAATGGCACAGCCTTATCCTTACGCTTTCCTATAACAATGTCATAAGTGGGAATGCTACGGATAACATTCTCTTCAGAAATTTCAAATTGACGTTTACTCTTAGAATATGTATTTGACAAAACCCTTTCCTGTAATTTACTAGCATTAGATATGTAATTCGTGAAGTCGCTTAGTTTACATCTTTTGTTTAATGTATCAATAATTCTACCAAGTGTTGGTCTTTTTGTCTTTGTACCATCATCGATCAGTGCCGTAGCACGTTTCTTCTTTTCAATGTAGCTTTTGGTTAGACTTAACATCACGAAGTACAGTTGCCTTTTTGGTTCTCTTTGCAGAAAATTGTTGCAATGAAAAATTAACGAACCAAATCCATTTAGACCAGCAGTAATTTTGTTTGGCTATCCATATCAATTAATTCAGTTTCCATTTTTTGAAAAAAAAAAAACTTTGTTGGTTTGTCTCAACCATGCCTAGTGATTTTTTTCGTACAATTCGTGCTCAAATTGAGAACAGCTGGCGACGGTTAATTTGAAATCTCTTAGCAACTTTATTAACAGGAGTTCCTTGTGTTATCCGGTACATTTGCGACTTTAGGTCTTTTCATGCCCAAATTCTTTCCGTGCAGACCATAATAAGCAAATTCTGGTTGAGGCTGAGTATGATAATAATAAAAATAATAATAGTAATAACAATATTTACTTATAATTTATAAGTTATTCATCGCATAAAAATACATCAAATGTTACATCGAAAAGTTAAGATTCAAACGCAAAATACTGTTGTATCCCAGAAAAGAAAAATAAAAAAATAAAAATCTGAAATCTCTATTAAAACGTTTATACAACTAAATTAAGTTAAACAATTCTAAAATGTTTTTATTCAGCTAGGTTATGCTTAAAAACTAACCTGTTAAAATAGCTATTTTTAAAACGTTTTGTATTTACACCACATGTTATAGTGGATGTATTTCTAAATCGCTTTGATGAGACCTTATACCTGGAGAGGATATTATTAAATGGATGATCGCAATTATAAGAATTATGAGATAGCACACACTCAAAAATTAGAAATACATCGATTTATTCATACTTGAGTCACGTTAACAAGCACTTTTTCCGCCTCTCCAGTTGTCCACAGTAACTTCATTTAGTATATACTAAAACAGTGGATAGTATTTTTCGCGCGCCCTGATTGGCTACTCAGTCAGTGAATATCCTGCACTAGCCACAGACACTGAGGTGAATAATTGTTATTTATTTACCTGCAGGGATTTGAGTGACAACGAGATCAAGGAGCCCCTGTCGGGGAAATTTTCAAATGTCTCTTCCTTGCGAACACTGTAAGTGAACGAAGCACTATTTCATTAAAATTATTAATGTCTTAGATAAATGATCCCGAAGTATCCGAAGCCCTCTTTTGGCACCTTCGGGTTGGGGAAAGAGGAGTGATGAATAGGGGGTGAACGTTTGATTTATTACCTGCAGTTTGGCCTCACCTTTTTCAGCTTCATGTTTTTTTAGGTCTGTAAGGAGTCTCTTTCAGCCATAGTCCTCTGTGTCCATATAGGTCAGAGGCAATCACTTTAAGTTCAGGATCATCCTTTCTTCTGTTTCCATCACTCAGAATTCCTTCGTCTTCCCTCTAACTTCCCTGATAACGTTGGTTGACTATCTATCGCTAGACTTTATTTCTTACTCATAAATAGTGTGACCAACTTTTCCGGTAACTTCATTTTTAAAGCCCGTCTGGACTAAAGTTTTTTTGTAATGTTTGGTTTCTTCAAATTAAAATAGCTATGCCGTTTTTAACATCATTCCTTTTACCTTAAACAGTGCTAAACATCTGTCAGGCTGAGTTTGAAGTGCAATTCTTCTTGTCGGTGATCCAGTAAAAAAGAATCGCCAAAGTGCAAATAAAAAATTTCCTGCCCCCAACCCCTCTCTCCCCCTGCGACCCCACTAACAGAGAAGCTTGTAACTTTAGGATCATTCCCAAAAGCTTCACCTGCAAAAATTTAAAACTCTTGTTGCTTTAAGTGTCATTGTCAGAGAAAGCCGGGCAGGGCGTACGGGTCGAGGTTGGCCGATTCCTTTCAAATTCCTACCACAGACAACCTCCCTCATATGATAAAAATATTCCCTCAAGTTTAAGCGGATTGGCTTGTGTCCAATCACTTTGATCACTCCCCTTGTTTTCGGTTTTAAAATTTGCATGAGAAGACCGTGTCAAATTTGGGGTAACTTGTGCAAGTTGTTAGTACCTAGCCTACCTCTTGCCAGTTTCAGCGTGAACTTGTCGATTTATGTGAATCATTTAAGACTCGTATACATTTCTATTCACGTTATGAATTATTATGTATGCGACAATATGGCTGCCTATGAAAATTCATTGCTCTGTATACTTTTTGGATTTTTGCCGTTATCTGTTCTTTTCTACAACGATAGTCATCAGGGAGTCCTTTCTAAAGACTTCATCTACGGCTGTCTAGTTAGAAATCGAGAACTATTGTAGATCCTTCCATGGGAGATAATTTCAAGTGCTTATATCTCAACGTTCGCTACCACTACAGGCGTAAACAGTTAAGTCGCAATTTCAAACTTGCGATTCCGATTTCTAAACGACGGGACACCGATTCATCGCATTGGCCCTCCCACATTCATTTTTTTGGTACGGATCTTCCTGTATGCATGAATTTTCATTGCAATCCTGGAGCGCTTACCATTTGTACGAAAAACCCGGTAATTCCGGGTAGAATTTAAATGGAACGGTTCATCCCGGCGGAAATGTTCCGGAAAAACGTAATACCTTTCGAGGTATTACCTTTTTCCCGTTTTCACCGAAAAGGCCTGAGATTTTTTGTACTATTTGTCTGGTTAACCAGTGCCAGGCTTCCTCTTGAGGCAAAAGGTGATTTGTTTTAACCCAGGCCCGCTCGTTATCTGGTGTTTTGCAAATTGTACAACTCTAACCCATTCCTCTTTTCGGAAACGTTTTCATTTCGCAGTTACCATTTCTCAGAAACGTTTTACCGAAATTTTCTTACAAATGGTAAGCCTTCCAGGTCCTGATTTTGAATATGCTCCGCTCAGCTGACCATCATTGTTTCACCGATTAAACAACTCGGGCTGCATCATCCATCAGCGAAGCTACTTAATTCCTGCCTTCTAAACGTCAGATCAATCAAAAACAAATCTCTTCAGATCAAAGACAAATTGGTAGATAAAAGTATTGACATTTTAGCAACTATGCATTTTAGCTTTAGCTGAAACCTGGCTTAGAGCTAACGAATGTTCTGACTTCATTGTCCGTGACATCAGCCCCACCAGATACACATTTGTCCATATCATGCCATTAGGTCTAGTGGCACTGGCGGAGGCATTGGCTTGCTCTATAGAAAAGACCTGAAAATTGAACAGCTGGAAACTGTTTTGAAATCGTTT